ATTGGCCAATGTTAATATTTAAAAAAATAATAATAAGGTGGCAAATTGAGAGCTAGTAAAAATAGTCAAAGAGAAATTGAGCTTTAATTTTGTTTGATTTACATAAGGGTGCATCACTCTGGGTGTTATTTTAGGGGGGGTTGGATAATTTAGGGGGTTAGGGGGGGTTGGCTTTGAGAGTATTTTTTTTCTGCCATGATTTAGATTCACACTTTAAAAATATATATATATACTTAAACATGTCAAATTGTTCTTAAAATTGCTTATTAAATGTGAACACTAGGAGGAGCCCTTTACATGTGACAGAGAAATTGATGGCGGAAATATGTCCCAAAACCAATAATATAGTATATTGAGGTAATCCAATATATAATCCTGGTATAATCCAGCGCTTCACATAAATAATTTAACAACCCAGTTGTTCCCCTGCAGGACGAATCAGAGTCTCCTAAACTGTCACTCATTGTGATAGTTAAATTGAAATAACTAATAGTTGTTTTGTTGTGTTTTTTTCGTCCTCTTTGCACACCAAAGAAAATATGAACTGGCTCTCTGCTTTGGAGCCATCCAGTCGTGTTCCGATGCGAATGACATCACTCCGTGGAGTCGAGCGCAGATTAAATACAAATGCTGTAAAACAGTCACCGTGTCGAGGTCCTCCGAAACGTGACGCGCCTCAGACAAATTATGCAACAGCGGTGGCCTTCGTCGGCTTCCCATTGGTTAGCGAGCGTTCCATCACGGCGCGTGGTTGTGACCAGTGCGCGTGCCGTTGGTTGTGTCTCCGCGGGAGGGCGTGTCCTTTGCATCCATTCATAAATTCAGCAGCAGAGCATCTCCTCGTCATGTGAAAATCCCCGTTTTTCCCACTGCTGCACACATGTTTGTCTGCAGATGTGCGGCTGTGGTTTTGGCAAAGGAAGACTTAGAGGTCAGCTTTATTTCAACAAAGAATTCATTCAATTAATATATTTCGGGAAGAAAACTTATTTTACATGAGCTAAAGGTTCTGTGTAGCGTCACCTTCATAACAAATGTTTTTGTTTGTTTTATATTGATCTACAATATGAAACATTTTAATGACATACAGCACAAGCCCTAAAATGTTTTGGGTTTTTTTCTGAAAGTGAATTACTGTGAGTGTAAAAAGGTCAGAGATAAATATCTGGGGAAATATAAAACAGGGTTAGTTAATAAGATAGTAACTCAAGCTTTGAACATCTCAAGAAGTTCACTTCAATATCAATATCAAGCTAACATGGCCGTCCACTGACAGCTAATGGCAAGGAGAGCACTGGCCAGAGAAGTAAGCAAAGTCTAAGGTGACTTTGGAGGAGCTTTTAACATCCACAGCTCAGGTGGTATTAGCAGTAGATGCACCTATTATTCATGTGTTCCACTATTCTGCATAGCCATTATTGAAACAAAGCTTTAAGGAACCATGTCACGTGTTTTGGTCCAATATTGGACTTGAATGCATGAAAGATAAGCCAACCAAAACTTAAATGTTGCTGCATTTAATGGAAAGAAAAGTCCACAGATGACAGAGAACAAAAAAATACAGAGATTAGGAGAACCAGATATCATGACCACACAGCAGAGGCAGAAGCAGACTGGCTTTTCATGTGCAGAGTCTAGGGGGAAACCCAATGCATATGGCAATACCAGAACTGTAACTAAAACCTAAACAAACACCAATATGCAAAGTAAAATATTTAAAAAAATAAAGGATTAGCATAAACACAGAACCTTAACCAAAGGAAACTCAAATGCCATGACCTCATCAATTGGAGTGGACACAGCAGACGTGGGAAAACACCTTAAACACGCCATGAAACATGCTTAACTTTTCTTCAGCAGGAAATCTTGTCAGAGTTGATTGAAATGTGGGTTGAGTTCAAAATCTGTAAAAGGCTGTAAAACGCTTTAACTGGAGCACATTTTCATCTTCTAACAGACGACAACAAACATGCAGTCAGAGCCTCAAAGGAATGGTTTAGATCAGGAGGACTTGAGATCAGCAGTTCTCCAGTCCCTCTGATTTGCACCTTTTGGATGCATCCTTGCACCTGAATCAAATAAATAGTTAATTGCAAAGCTTTTGCAAAACTTGCTTCTATGCCAAGGAGGTAATTCAACCTTTTGACTCAGGTGCACTGGAGCAGGGATGCATCTAAAGGTTGCAGGACTGTGGCACTTGAGGGAGAGTGTTGTAGACTTCTGGTTTAGTGTGTTAGAGTGGTTTTCGACCTGTATCCAGTTTAGAATTTGTGAAAAAAATTGAAGGTTGAGGTTCTGTTAATGTAGTCTGCCTGAACTGGAACTTTTTTTTGCTATTTTGCAAAATGTAGAGGAATGTTCACAATGAGCACAGCCTCTCTGTGCACATTGTGGAAAGGAGGCCATATGCACTTTGTGGTTGTATATTTTTCAAGAAGCATGAACATTTTTGCAAGAAACTGCAAATGAAGATGCAAAACTATGAAAACCAAACTTGCATTTTTCAAAATCTTCTTTTTTTTGTTGTAGTATCACTGAGAAATAATATTGACAGTATTGAATATGTATACAAAATCTCCTTAGATTTAAAGGAGGAAAGGAAAAACTGGTCTGCAGGTGCAGACTGGGGAAAACAAAGCTGCAGTGAGTGGGTTTTTTCCACGCTGTCTTCAAATGGGACATGTTTGCCTCTGACTCACAGAGGAAAAAAAGAGCAGTGAGGGTGAAAAGGGGCCCTCGTTTACAGTTTAGTCATTATGTTGTGTTTGCGTCTTCCCAGAGGGAGATAAGATTTCTGCTGTTGTTGTCTACTCTCAAACGCTCAAACTTGTGCTTTTGACCTTCCACATTCCTTCGATATCCGATCTCTTAGTTCTTGGCAGTAGAAAGAAGACATCGAGGTAACTCTTACATTACAGAGATTGTGTCAACATTAGTTAAGAAAAAACGTGACAAAACTGAGATGATTGGACTATTTATTTAATTGAAACAGGTGTTTTTTGATTTGTTCATCAAATTGAGGTGGTTCTAATTCAAAAATCAACATCCAGTAAACTGTAAAGTAATGTGCTTTACATTGATCCAACCTGCTGACAAATGCCTCATCCACAAGTTTAGGCTTGACACAATTGGATAGTCAATATCAAAGATAATGATTTTATTTTTATTTTTATTTTTTAAAGGAGCAAATGATAGAGAGAAAGGGGGAAGCAGGTGGGGGATGGGAATTAGTTGGAAGGGAAGTGGAAGGATTGAAATGATGGGGGTGGTCTTCAGCAAGCATAAACTCAAAGTAGGTTCAGGCGGTTCATGTATTGCAGGGGAATTCTGACAGCGGGAGGGGGATGGTAAGCTCTCTGAACCCGGTGCCTCTTCCATACATTCAACTAAGACGCCTTTCTTTTGGCTTCTACAGCCAAAGGTTAACCTGTGTTTTGCTTTCCTGATCACAGAAGGCAGTCTGGGCAGTGCATATAGTTGGGATAAGCGAAACGCATAGCAAAACAAACACGGCTACGCCCTGCTATGTATGCAATGTATATGGCTGGAGACAGGAGGGTGGGAGGGGGCGGTCGGTGAGTTCATGTGTAAGTTGTATGTATAGAGGGGGAGGGGCAGACTCCTCATCCTCTGACTGCAACATGAGGAGCAGCACGTAGGAAAATCCTGATAAAAGCATGCCAAACTACTGATGCATCATTTAAGCATTATGAAGTGAGAAACAAAAAATGCATTAGATAATCAGTGGAGAGGATGTGTGTAGGTATATGTGTGTGCAAACAGGCTATGCAAGCAAGTGCAATGCCTGTACGGAGAGGTGGTCACAGAGTTCACCCTGTTGTGAGCTAAAAGCGAAGGGGGAGGACACACTATGGCTGCTCATGGATAACCTTGAAGAGTAACTACATGAGTGATCCTATATACACCAACAACAACAACACAGACTGAAAGATTCAGGTTCAAAAATGCTAAAAGAAAGTATGAGGCATTAAATAAATAAAAAAATATAGAATGGGTTCGGAAAATTATTTGTGTGAAACAGTATTCATAATAAGTAGTCTGGGGATTTCTAATTGCAGTTATCAGAGATCAGAAAAGGTTGTAAATGCAACATTCTGGCCTGTTTTCAGAAAAATTTTACATATTAAGTGCAAATCCCATCAGAATCAAACGAACAGCTTCTAATTGTTTACAATACTCTTGAAGAATATTTGAAGACTTGTCAGAGATTGAGGTTTTGAGTGTGCGCACACAGACAGTGCAAATTGAATCCTGCCTGAAATCAAACATGGGTGTTATTGAAGTTGCCTAGAGAGGGACTGTGCTCTCTTCTTCACATGACTATAATTACTATGTTTAAGTTTTGACATGAGGCACAATCTGTAAGAGAAATCTGTGACAGCTTCAGATGTTATTTACATGGAGCTGTTGTTAAATTAATGAATGTGGATGTTGGTACATTTTTAATCTCAAAATCGTTTACATTTCTAGAATTGTCAGTCCTCTTTTGGTTACTGGTTGAAAATAGAAATAGATTACCGTTTTTTATAGGATGGATGGATGGATGGATGGATGGATGGATCGGTGGATGGATTGAATCTTTACAATTTGAGAGTTTTGAAATGCAAATATATATATTTTTTCCATACACAGACATGAAAAATCCTTAATCAAATTCCATGTGTTCAGACAGCGTGGGTTCCTTGTTTTCTTTTTCCTCAGTGAATTTTTTTTTAAATTTAATTTCTACAGATTGAAGAAGAAAAAAAACTGTTAATATATTTGTCAATTACACTGACGATTTACGACCCCACTTGCATAAGTCCTCTAGGATTTTTTTCTATGTGTTTCGGTGTTTTTTGCTGTGACGGGTGGAGTCCTTTTAGGCCACATTGCGCTCCTCTGGCTCCGGCGCTGCGTGTTTACAACCGTTTGCTATAGTAGAGCAACAGCAGCAGCGCTCAGACACCAAACACACCGGAGACACATGAGTGGGGCGTGTCCGTCATAAAGGTTAGAACCTTTGTCCAATCAACCCTCGGTAATCCTTTCACTGGCTGAGCGGCTCAGCCAATGGCGGGGGCCTCCAATCGGGACGTGAGCCAATAGGAAGAGCGACTCACGCAGGCACGTGGATCTACACACACGTTGACGCTCGTAAACTACCAAGAGAAGCAGCTAGTTGAGACAGAGATCGATGAGCAGACCGGGCGGTGTGCGCGCGCGCGTGTGTGTGTGTTTGCAAAGAATGGACTCGCTGATGCTGTTCCAGCCACTAACCTCGTACTGACGGATCTACCGAACCCAAACCAGACGCGATATTTTATGCGTTGTTCACCGAGGCTCTCATTATCATCTCACTTTACCGGCGGTGAGTATTAAACCGCTTTTCATCATCTGTTGTTACCGTTTCCTGAAGTTGGCAGGCTAGCCTAACGGAATTTCCTGCCCAGCTTTATCCTGTTTGTGCTGTTAAAACAATGACTATTCCCATCCCCGACGCGACTCTTTCTCGCTAGTCTTGTATTTAGTTTTTTGAAAGCAATAGCAGCTTATTTTTTATTTTTTGGGACAACTTTGTCATAAAATGTCCAGTATGTGTTCGGATGTTGTAGTGGGCGTGATTACTCGCGCGCACACATTTAGACGGGCAGCCATCACCTGTCTCTGTACCTGAGCCCGCATGCACCATCCCAGCCCGTCTCCATCCATCCCGCACAGAACCAGTTCTTTCCCTCAGCAGAATGCTAGCTCCACTTAAATTAATCGCTGAAATAAATTAGTGACTACAGGTCGCAGTTTTAGCGTGCATAAAATATAACCGAGGAGAAATTGAGGAGCTGCAGTAATTTAAATTCATGACTGCTAAACTAGCTATGAAGCTAGGAATAATTCTTCAGTGTTTGCTTGCACTTATAAATCATAAATAGCCATTTGTTTGATATTTGAACATTTTATTCTGCTGCATTTTTGTCAGTTCTTTTAATCCTAACATTATTAAATGTTAACATTTTTTTGCGGAGTTTTGTTTCAACTGACTAAAAATTAATATGATTGTTAATTAATCTGTCGGTTTATACTACTTCCATCAGTTGCTGTGGATCCCAGATTATTTGCATATTTAAAATTGTCTTTTCATTCTCTTATTCATGAATCAAGAGTGAATTTAAAAGTTCTTCTGAGTAAAAATGTAAAGTTTTGGGACTGATATTCTATGTGGAATGTAAGCTGCTGCTCAGGGCCCCTCTTGGCCCCTGGGGCCCTGAGCAGCAGCTTGCTGTGCCTTGGACTAACTCTGTCACAGTTAAGTGACGCATTATTTGGGTAATTCGTTTTTTTTTAGTTTTTTTTTTAAACATTTAATATTGATCTAAAAATACCCAGCTGATTGAAAATTCACATTGTAACTTAAATAGACAAAACTGTGAGTGTTTCATTCCTCTCTTAGCCTTTTTGGGTGCAAAAATCTATCGGTCTCTCTGATAAGACCTGGGGTGTTTATCTACCAAGTACATTCCTATTTCCCCACATATGCTGGTGGGATCAGAGACTAGAGGACGCTTGCAGATCGCTCAGACTGTGGGAGAAGGGCGCGTCAGTAGCCAGAGAGAATGAAAAATGTGAGCGGAAATATAGAGGCTGTGTGCATAACGAATAGGATGGGATGAGAGCTGCACGGCATGCAGAAACGCAGCCAGAGAGGAAAGAAGGTGGTTTGTGTGTCTCTAATCCTGCTGGGGAGGGGGGTGAGTGTGTGTGGAGTAGAGAAAGCACGAGACTGAAGAGAGGAGGGGCTTCGGAGAGCAACCGGAGGCTGTGGTGGAGTGGGAGTGTGCCTATTCTGATTTCACCACTCCACGAGCTCCCATCCCCCCTCTCACTCTTCCTACTCTCCTCCAGTCTCCTCAATGGGAGCCAGACATGTACCACCATTGTGTGCCTCCTGCATATACCCCCAGCCCCACTCTGCACCATGTTAAACTAGGACACTGGTATACCCACCATTTTGAGTTATGGGAGTTGTATATTTAGGAAGAGAGATGTGGAAAATGGAGCACCAGCAAAACAGAAAACATGTTTGTTCTATGAATTTACTCTGCACTTCACTAAGCGTGTTGTTTGTGTTGTTTCTCCTAAAAGCTAAATCTGACTAGTAGTAATCCAAATCCTTTACTACTGTTTCCCCAAAGTGATGCAGTCTCAAGGAAGCACTTCCACCCAGCCCTCCTTCGATTCCCTGAGTTCCAGCGACAGCCTCGTGCTCAGCGACTCGGAACAGATGGAGGACGACACTGACGTCTTTTTGACGGACAGCTCTTCCTCCGTCACCATCGGCGAAGTGGCATCCAAAAAGGGGCTGGGATCGAGGAGCCCCAGGTCACAATGGCCATACAGCGGCTTCCCAGGCGAGGAAGAGGAGTACAGGTCGCAGAATGATGGCAAAGGGGCAAACTTCAGCATGCTCCACACAGATGCTGCGAGCCAGAGACCCAAATCAGAGGGAGATCTGCTGTTTGCTCAGAAGGTAATGGAGGAGAGGAGAGGCATGACATGGCAGTGTTTGTACAGAGGGGGGCCTCTTCTGAGACTGTAATCTATTTGCTCTGTCTTATTCTCTGCCAGTGTGCTGAGCTGCAGGGTTTTGTCAGGCCGCTTCTTGAGTTGCTGAATGGGCTGAAGAGTGGCCGATTCGACCAAGGTAAGCATTCCTAAATCACTGCCTCCTACAAGCGTGGTGTAGATACATACAGGCTATGAGGACTTCTCTATTGGACTGAGGAGTTTTCCTCTGGACTCAAGTGTGTATTGATACGGTACAATGTGCAACTAACACGACACGACAGCGTTGCTCCTTACATATGACCTCTGGGGTTTGAGTGAAAGTGGTGCCTGAGGTGGGGGCTGTATGTGTTCTCATGTGTCCGCTCACTGTAAATCATGACAGGTGGATTATGGATTTGATTGACAGGTTTAAGCAGTTTCCAGCAGAGCGTCGCCATGGATCGCATCCAGAGGATTGTCGGGGTTTTGCAGAGACCAGACTGTGGGTAAGAAGTCATCCACATTGCCTTCCTTCCTTCACATATGCTATTTATAGAGTGCTTTGCAAAAATGTTCACATTTTGTCACCTTAAAACCACAAAGTTTGATGTATTTATAAGAACTTTGAGATAGATTAGCATAAATTGAGTGATCACTCTATGAAGTGGAAGGACAATTATACTTAGTTTTTATTTGTATTTCCTAAATCCAGAGCATGAAAGTGTCTTCATAAATAATCTTATAAATAAATAGTCAATCTATGTGTAATACAATCTCAGTGTAAATCTAGCTGTTCTATGAAGGTCTCAGATGTTTATTGGATATAATAAGAATGAAAAAAGAGCAAATAAAGTTAGAGGAGCAGCAGAAATCCACTGCTCAGGTGGAAGAATCTACTGGCAGAAAAATTATTTGTTTTGGATTGAATAAATGTGGGCTTCACGGAAAGTGGCCCAAAGAAAACCATTTCTGTTTTCACATTGACATACATCGTGTAGAGGACATAGCAAACTTGTTAAAAAAGATAATTTGGTCAGATGAGATGAGAACTGAACTTTCTATTGGGGCAACATACAGTCAAGACGTAATTATCTGACTGGCCTGGAGCTGTTTTGCAAAGCGGAACTGGCAAAACATTTTGTACCTATCTGAGCAAACTGTGAGTCATTCAGAGAGGCTGAATAGAAATACAATCCAGATTTTTATTTGTAGCAAAATTCAGTAAACTATGTATCCCTTTCCTGGAAATTTTTCAGTTATGCACTACCTTGTATTGGTGCATGTCATAAAATCCCTGTGGAAAAATCATTGAAGGTTTTAGTTGTAATGTGATAAAATATGTAAAATTTAAGGGGCGTTAATACTTTCTCTGTGCAGAGGCCTTTATCTGACATCTACTTCCATAAAAGTCAGGATTATTAAACGATTCAAAAGCTTTTGGAGGTGGTTTTCAGTTTCAACTCTCTCTGCCTGCTGCATGTTTAACTGAGCGCTCCTAGGAGTAGATTCACAGCATCCATCAGGAGTATCGGGCAACACTAAATGATTGGTGATGATTTTCCCAATGTTTTCTGACTTCTTTTTTTTCTCTGTATTTTAGGGAGAAGTACCTGAACACTTTGCTCCAGGTGGAGGTGATGCTAAAGCTCTGGTTTCCCCATATCGCTGCTCAGCCTGTGTCTTCGTCCTCCAGTTTCTCCACTTCCCCCACTCACTCCCTCCAGGACACTTCCAGCTCCACTCCGCCACACAAACATCGGGACCAGCTGCATATCCCCGTCAAGGTGAAAATGCGTGCATTTCACCTTGCCTGCTTGTGCAAATAAGCCCCTCCCCCTCCAGCGGCCACACCGCTAAGAGTTAATGTTCATTGGCTTGCTCTCTTCTTCATTTTCCAGAAGCGCAGACTCAGCTGGACAGACACCGACTCCCCCATGCCCTCTCCTGTACCTATCAAGTGCCGTCGAATCGGTGGAGAGGAGAGGAGGAAGAAGCACACTCAAGATGAAAGAGATCAGTCTGCTACTTCTCCACTGCTGGCTTCTGACGCAAACCTGAGTTTGCCAGATGTGGTCTGCAGCAGACAGCTAAACAACGGCGCAAAGGGAAATGACAGCGAGGCCGAGGAGCTAGACGAGCGCTCTAAGTACAAGACGACCCAGAGCTCCGAGCCCAGGCTGACGTGGGTCCACGTCGCTCCCATCCCGTCCCCCCGAAAAACATGCATCTCGCACGAGGCCATAAAGACGGAAGGTGTCGGCGAAATCGTTCTCACAGCAGGGAGCAGGGGCAGTCCAGCTATGCAAGACTGCTCCATCTCGTCCACCACGCCCTCTAAGAACCCAAAAAATCAGAAGAAACCAACACAGTGCCAAAGCCAGCCCGTTGCTGCCGGACAACAAGGTGAGACAGAGAGCAGTGGGACATGTCAAGGTCAAAACCAGCCCCCTCTTGTCTCGCTGAAGCCTCTGGCTCGGGTATGCCCCTCCACCGTGGAGACCTGACACACAGAGAGAGCAAAAAGCCAGCAGCCTCGCTCTCCTTAAACCACCTGAGGCATAAAGCTGCTGCAACACAAAGAAAGGGATGAAAGTGTTGTTTATTAATGCATTTCAACAGGAGGAGAATAGCAGTTAGAGGAGATGGATATAAACAATAAATTGCTATGGGTAAAGTTGAAGGGACTGGGAAATTTTTGAAGTGAAGTTCTGATCAGGCATTATAAGCACTAAGTGTCTTACATGGGTTTCGTTTAATATAAATTTAAATAGTTTAAAAGCAGACCCATGCTGATGTCATACTGGTTTATTGCAACACTACCTAATCAATATTTGAACTGTTTTATGGTTATTTACACAGAAAATAGCAATGATTTACATAACAGTTGGTAGTTGGAGGAAACTTGTCAGACATGGTCTTCCTCTGTGAAACGCATACTGACAGCAGAACGTGTGAAGCACGTATCAAACTCAAGACTCACCATTGTGTAATTTTAAGAAACGCTTAGTGAATGCTGAAACAAACTGCTATTTATCGATATTTTAACAGTTGAGTTGATTTTATCAATACATTCTGGCACAACCGGCCCTTTAAGAACATTCAAATTGTTCATTTTGATATGGCCCAAAAAAGAAAATGAATTTGGCACCTCTGGTGTGAAGTGTTCCTGGTTGGAGTAACTATGTGGTAAGAAAAAGGTTGAAGTGAATAGCAGTATACTATTTTAGTAGGAAAAATGCTTCCCTTGTTCAGTTCCCACAGGAAGTTTCACACGGGAAGATCACTGGCGGCAGAGCGCCTCCCACCTCCATCGCCTCTATGAGTAATCATTGGATTTTGTGTAAATAACCAACAAATCCAAATGACTAAAGGCTCACAAAATGGCGTGTAGATACTCTGCTCTAGTGTTTTTGACACTGGACTTGTTTTACAACTGTAGAAGTCCAGGCCCAACTATCCCAAATTTACACGAGATCAAGAAGGTTATCCACCAATGGTAAGACAACCTTTAACAGAAGCTCACTTAAAAATATCCAAACTATCCCTTTGAACTTTGTTTTTTAAATACACAATATGGAATATAATGTGTGATATATATATATGAAAAAAAACTATTGATAAAGTAATGTTCTTAATTAACATGCACTAAAAGAGGTTATGATTAAAAAGACTAGAATACACCTAAAGATCAGGAATACAGGCATAAAGATGGTCGATGGAGACTAACGAGTTCCAGGAAGCAATTAAGAGAATAACTTCATAGCATGAAAGCAATCAATATATTCAGAGATGGCTGTTTTCGCACAACTTTAACTTAAACTTGAAACTTTACAAACTTTGGAGTCTGATGTCAGTATTTAACATAAAATCCTAGAAAGCTATGATTCCAATCTAATATTTGTGTTATGACAGGAAGTCCTGATTGATTTTACAACTAACTGTAGTTGGGACAGGAGAAAAATAAGTGTGAAGAGAGTCAAGCCAAGTCCTGTGGCTTTTACGGTGAAAAATACAGAACTGACTAATTAATATGCTGTCTATGTGGTGTGTTGGAGTCTGCGAAGAAGGCGGAAAACAAACATCCAACATCCCACGAATGTATTCTAAAATGTTTGGACTCTTCACATCCAGAGGAGCGACGCCGTAGCAACGACCCGTCTTGCTGTGAATCAGGCGCCGCCGCCCGGTGTCTGTCTGCAAACTGACCGGCAATCAGGGTCAAGAAAGACTTTTTTTTTTTTTTTTTAATGACCAGCCTGAAAAAAACAAACAGGAAAAACAGCAACCACTCAGACATAAGACTCTAGTTTCACTGTTAATTTATTCACATTTCAATCAGACACTGCAGCTATTTATTATTGTTCATATTTATTTATTGGGCAGCTGATTATCGCCTGCTGTGCATTTCGCATAGTCTGGCCCACAGTTTCCTTTTCGAGGGTTTTCGATACTTTTGACATTTCATGTGTTTTTTACAACTATCATGAGGAGGAAAAAGGAGGCAGATAAAATATTTCGACTGGACTAATGGACTACTGTGCCTTTTTGCCAATGTGTTTGAAAAAGATCTTTGTGCTTTCAGTGCATTTTGATTGTTTGCATTTCACAAAACCAATAGCACATTCAATCAAGGAAAGCCAACATGTAGTCTGTACATCTTAAAAATGCACCAATGCATTAAAACCAACAACATAAAAGACAACTAAACCAACGGCGTCCAGATCCGATATGTTTATCCTCACTGCCCACATTTCAAGCTGATTTTGTGTGTGTATGTGTTCAGGTAATTTGATGAGGAAACCAGTCATGTAAAAACAAAAACAAGTGTTTATTTGTTTTCTTTTATTATCCTCAAAAATGATTTTAGAAGGGTACGTAATTCTGTGACTGTCCATCATCGTGACTGTAGGAGGCGCTGTCTTAGTTGTAGGCTAACAACATTTTTCACAATTGGCAATGATCAAAAAGATTTTTAAAAAATTTAGCTATTTTATTATTTGGATGATAATTTAAAGAAATTAACATTAGTTTGAGAAATTTTAATAAATTATGTAATATTTCATTTTATGTTAAAAATGCTCATCCTGGCCATTTATTGGCAATGGTGTCTCAAAGATCCTTGCTATCACATATTTGTGTTTGGAAAAATTTGTACATTTCTTTCAGCCATTGGTTTTATTTTATAAATAATAATACAAAAAGGTTTCTGGGAAGGGTTCTACAAAAAAACAACAAAAAAAACGACTTGTCTTATTACCCTTTTTTAGTTTGTATTTATCTTGAAATCAGATAGCCACTTCTTTTTGTGGTTGTATTTTATTACTAATTTGTGGTTGAAGGAATCTGGTTTTACTCTTCCACACACCGAATATGCACACTTTCAGCAGTGGCTATAATTTTGTTGTGTATGATTGAGCGTAATCTTTATTTAACGCTGTTTTTGGGCTCTCATCAGCGGCGGAGCTAATTGAACTGCTGGTGCTCTTAAAAAAAAATATATATATATATAAATTAGTTAGAAAATCTTTATTTGTACTAGATGCTTCATAGGATCCCCTTATTTATTTTTTAAAAATAAGCTAACATTCACATAAATATTAAGCTATCTTTATTGTGATTGAATCAACTTGCATTTCAAAAAGAAGCATATAAATATTGAAATTACTTGTAATTGTTTTTTTTTGTAATTAATTCACTGATTTTGTACCGAGGGAGGTGACACCTCTAAAAACACCCACATGTAAACACAGAGCCCCCCTGGCAGCCATCATGTTCCTGCCCATGTTTTGGAGCAATGAGCACACAAACCCTCCGTCACAGATCCAGACTCTGGATCAGAGCCTAAGGGCGGGGGCTTGTCTTCCACCTCACTCTTGTTTACTGTTGAAGTATGACAGAGAAACCAATTGCACTTATTTGTTAACCTGCTTTTTTTTTTCTTTGGCTTTCTCGGATGTATGTTTTTTTTTTTTTTTGTTTTTTTTTTTTTTTTGTTTATTTTTCTTTTTTGTAACGCTTATCATTATACGCAAACTGTAAACGCGTCCCTTCCCCCATTCGGCTGCACTGCTCTGCCCTTGCCATCTCCGCTACATCCCCCTCAATCCTGTTAGTATCGTTCTCTCAAATGAAGCTATTTCTTTCTTTCACTTCCATCTTTTTTCTATTATCCTCCTGACTATTTTGTTTTCCAGGAATGACACGAGACAGAAATCTTTTAATAAATGACAAATTTTTGAAAGTGACAACGCATTTTGGATTTTATTTTTTTTTTCTTCTGGGTTTTCTATGACATAAAAAAAGTTATATTTTCTTCCCATATTTGCTGTTTGGCTTTGTTCATTATGATGCCGTGATGTGAGTCAGACTTGACGTGTTTTGAAAGGCAGCTCTCACTAAACAGATGTGACTCAGAGGGGTGCCGATTTAGAGACTGTACATTTTGAAGTGCGTGTGAGCTTGCAGGGTGGGGGGTTGAAGGAAGGAGGGTGTATGGTGTGAGACTACTGACTCTAATCTGACTGAAAGTAGTAGGGGGCTGGCTGATCCTCCAACCAGCTGCTACTGCTGAGCCCAAACATTACTGCCATGTATTTGTGTGCACATTTAGGTTGTGTGCACATTTAGGTTAGAAAATCAGAATTAGTAACAACCTCCTAGAAATAGAAGAAGAGTCTATTTCTAGGGGGGTGTCTCAAGTGCATCCTGTGGTGTCATGAATGAAAGGGGGTGAAAAATAGTTTCACTTGATCTGAATATGCAAAGGTTTGGGAGTCAAAAGTAGATCTGATATATTACTTATAGTTCTTGTCAAAATCTACACAAGTTTTTTTTATTTTTTGTGCGTAAAAAATTTACTTTTCCACATATGACATTTATCAAGTACTCATGTAAAAGTATTTTACATAAGTTCAATTTTCGTATTAATTATATTCAATCTGATTAGGAAATTCAGCTGTGTTAAAAGGGTTTTGTTGACTTGCTAATTTACATAATTTAGCTAATCCATAGTTCTCAAAAAGGCTACTAAGGGGGGAAAAAAAAAGTTTGTCAAGTTAACAATAAAGGTAAAGCTGATAAGAAATATCTTTAAAAATCTGGAAGCTGATCAGAGAGGCAGCCAAATGATCTCTGAAGAGTCTGCAGAAACTTCTGGTTGGCTGTGGAGCTGCGGGGTGTGTTACTAAATCACTAAATAACACATCCGGTTTTGGCTTAAAGAAACTGCTATGGTCTGATAAATCCAACTTGACCTTTGGGACGCAGCTCCCAAAGATAAGTTTATCACAAATCCAACACATCGGCAAAAGAACACTGTACCCAAAGTGAAATACGGTGGAAGCCGAATCATTTTTTAAAAATGGAACCAGAGTTTCTGTAAAGGTGGGTGAAATAAGAAAATCAGGAAAGATGAGTTTTTAAGGTCTCAGTTAGAAATGGCAATTTTTTTTCTGCTTCACAGCAAGAACAAACATGCACAACAATCGATTTAACATTTTATTCACCAAAACAAATGAAATGTTACAAATGGTAAAATGAGAGTAGAGAACTAAATCTGACAGAAAAAGTGTGGCCTGGAGAACTGCCACAAGCAGACAAATAAAAAGTAGCAGCCAACATAAGAAAAAAAGTCACTAATATTTTGTTGGACCACTAATGCCTTTAATTTTGGTGCACAATTGCTGCACAGGCAATTTTGTTGGAAAAAATAAATACAATGAGAAATTTTCACCAGTAAATAGGTTTAAGCAAATAATATAATTTGTAAAAAGTTTTGTATATGATATTGTGCTCTTAAAAGTTGTATACAACTTTACCAGCAATGCATATAAATGTGGACTAATTCAGAGAATCTATAATGACTGGAGAAATTTTGAACTTGAAATTTTCATTACATGTTCATTATTTTAATAATATTTAATTAACATTCAGTGAAATATGAAGAAATATTTGGAAAATTATGTTTTATCTCATAACAGCCATTAGAAAAAACAGGGAAGCAGAGTAATTTCCTCTTTTTGCTGGAGTGTTGCGTGGTGGATTTTAGGAGGGCGGGGTTTGGCTCTTTGGTCAAGCAGAATGAAACCAGCAGTGGTGCATACACGACATTCATACACGTAAACATACAAGCAACACATATCACATTCGGCTCAGGTGTGCACTGCTTTCTGACACAGTGACTGGCTAATTTCACGACGGGTCTGTCTCTGACACACTGACTGTGCTGCGCTACAAAACCGGAGAAGGCCCACCTCCTCTCCCCCTCTCCCAGCCCCCCCTTGTATCCATGCAGTTTTTAGCAGAGGAGCGATTGCCTGCTTCTCCCCAACACAGCAACACACCCCTTTTTCTTCTCTGAAGCATGGAAACCAGGGGCAAGAAGGCAGGGATGTGCTGGGGGTCAGTCAAGGACATTGACATTGCTGCAGCTTCATTAAAACAGTAATGGCTTTTTGTTGTGTTTTTAAAGCTTACAATGAAAACTAACTCACCTTGAGAAAGCTATGTTGTATTGATTTTCTCTTTTTTTTTATTCCTTTGTATGAGTAAGCAGCAAGACTAAACAGGAATTGGTAAAACACCATTAATGCTCTTTGTAGTTTTCACTTCTTTGAGTATCCAACAAGCATGTGTGGGATTATTTGAGCATGTGTGTTCAGGCATCAATAGGATTTCACATAATGAACTTACTGCATCTCTTATCCGCTGTTGTGGAGGTTTTATTTGTGGGTCTGTGTCCCGTTGTTGAGCTTAACAAGTTGAGGGTGTCTGCAGCCGCGCTTGCTGCGAACGTGAGGATGTTTAATGACACAATAAGGTGCTTAATCATTTATCCCAAACTCCCCTCCCTTCATAATTCAGTCACTGTGCTCTGCTAAAACCCTCTGAGCTAAAGGCACACAGTGATTCTGCAGGAAAACACACACACACACACACACACACACACACGAAACTCAAACTCACCCGAAGCCCACAGGGGAGTTTTAGTCCAGACTTGTCACAAAACAGCCTTGACGCACATTTAAAATGCACAGTGGCAAACCCTGAAATGGAAATCAGAGCCACCTCGAAGTCATTTCTGCCCTTCCGGAGACCCCATCACTGACAGAGCTCTCCGCGTTGAAGGGAACGCTTTCACCCACCATCTGTAACCCTCCATCACCGTGATGCCACCTATTCGGTAAAGACTGAGACACGGGGGCCTCACTTTCAAGGACTCACGTGTTCCTCATGACATTGTGTGCAATATTTGGGACAAGGAAGAGCTAAAAGGCAGCGACGTCCTCATCAGTTTCTTAAGGACTGGATGTTTTCGTGCTCGTGGTGACGCCATGTCGCATGAGCACAGGACGCGCAGGTTGGACGTCAAAAAATGCACAAGATGCATGTAAATAGTCTTAGGAATGATTTTAATAAAAGCTCAAATGCATTAGTGAGTGGGTGGAAACGCTCCAGCCAAGGTGTGGAGTTCAGACAGCAACGTCCCCTGCGACTGAATCATCCGAGCTGATTTATAACCCCTGTCACTTGTAATGGAGTAAAACTGGGCCAGTATGACGGAATTATATCAAAAACCTTTATGCCAGATGAGAAACATTCTCAACAAAGTCACACACACACACATTGGAATACATATAAGAACAGACGAGTATTATGGAACAACACAACAGGTTGTGTGTTATAAAGCCAGGTCATCGGATCTGACCTTTGAACCACAAGATCTGCTCTTTTTCCAATGTTTTCTAAGATGTCTTTGATGGACTTTTTGAAACAATCAATGATCCAAATGGTTCCTTGAGTCCCCAATGTGTCAAGGTTGTTTTGACTCTGGAGTGTCACATTATAAAATATTTGAAGGTGAAAATGAGATAATTATTTCACAGTATGCATAAAAAAACTGCCCTCACCTAGTTAAACAGCACACATTTCTCTATTATTTCCACTCATAATACCAAGTTGAAATAGCAACTTATTTGACTTACGAGTAATTTAAATTCTTGTTTCAAATTGCATAAACTGAAAATAAATTGTATTAAACATCACAATGAACTCTGCTCTAAAACATCTGGCGTGAACAGGACCTTATCGTCAAGCTTTTCAAGTTACATTTAAATAAACATTTGCCTTAACAACACAGAATAATCAGATAAATGTTACACACTTGCATCACTCTCAAGGTTCAACATAGGATAGAAAAACATGCCACTAAGCATGCTGGGAACTAGTTCCCACTCCTTTCTTTTTCTTCTTTCAGTTTTTCAAGTGCTGACCTAAAAGCTCTGGCATATTCAACTCTGTGAGGTCTGACAAAAATATTGAAAAGTTAACACAACTGTAAGTTTATCTTTCACAAACTCACACAGTTAGGTTCAAAATCTAAAATGTGCAAAATTTATTTGACTTTATTTGACTTGGCTAATATTTTAAACTCTGAAACTGAGCTCACTGTTTTTCCGTTTTTTCCACTCGTGGCGCCACATGTTTCCCAAACTTTGCTTGTGATTGGCTGATCAGCACTTTGCAAAGGTTCCTTCTCTGGAAGCCAGAGAGAAAAATAAAGGTTTTCCCCACTCAAATTAGTTGTGATGAAAAGTTTGTCTTGCGCAACATATTCTTTGCCACGTTTGCCTAATTTTCCGAAGAAGACCCTGTAAAGTTTATGTAATTTTTCTCCAAACCTCCAAATCACTCACTGACTTTCTTTAAGCGTTTTGTTCATGTTTGCATCCAGTATTGTTCCGAAATGATCCAAGTGAGCAATCACCAAGACATCTAATAAACAGAACTGTTCTAATAAAACCGTCCCATAAAAGCAGCCTGCCGAGAAAAAGAACCGCTGTTTGAGCTTGAGGCTGACAGGAATTAGGGGACACCAGAGCAGAAGTTGAAGTTGGTTGTGAGAAAACTAAGAGCCCGTCTTAGGCCTGATAGTACACATTTTATTCCCTTTTTCTATCACGATGATGGCAAGGTGAGAAAAGGGATGTGGCCAGCTGGTTTGGAAACTTTGAATCTTTCCTTTGTCTTCTCCCAAACACTTTCCATCAAATTTTTTTGATGGAACATTTTTTTTCTCCATCAACTCAGAATGTCAGTCTGCAAAAACCTCAAACTCCTGAGAAAGCAGTGCACTTCTGGTAACACTGAAACATTGAATCAGCTTATACAATAGCCTATTTCACTTAGTTCAGTTTTCTGCCTTTTTTCAGAAAGTCTCCATCTATTCCTCTCTGTGATATTTGTTTCTTTTTTTTATTACTGTAATCAATTGGTCATGTGAAGAAAAACAACTGTAATACTTGGTTGATTTTATTGTTAGACTTTTAATTGTGATAGTTATAAAGAACCTCTACTCCTTAATGTGCATGTAGAAAATCATTCCCAGGGGAGGAAGCTTAACAGATTATTACAATAAAGTCATTTATTCTTTCATAATTAATGAAGCACAAAAAAATGTGAAAATCACTGCTGTGTTATCCAGGGATAATTGTGGGATATATTTACACTGTCCTCATCACATAACTGCATGGTGCTGCAGTTCAGTTGTCTCACTGTGTTTGCCAGTTTGGAAAGGAGCCTGTGTGTTTTTGTTTTCCTGTTGCACAGAAATATCTGAGGTATTGTCATATTATGTGCTGAGAGCTCATTACATAATAGAGCCAGGGGCTAAAGGGGGTTCAGCACATGTGATGAGCCACGGAACGGCTCAGGTTGATCACCGGTGGCGGTGAGGGAATCGGTTTGCCGTATTAACTGACTCACTAATCATTTGATTACAACTGATCACAATATCGCTTTGCAAAGTATGTGGTTGTTTAAAGAGGTTGAAGGTAAATATCTGAAAAACATTCAGATATGATTTTCTGAAAGGCTCCTTCAAGTTATTGCAGTGTCCATTTTATGTACAGTGCATGAAGGAACAATTTACAGCTTTTCATTTTTTCACATTTGGTATGTTACAGCTTTTTGTTTCTTCTGGTCTGCCCATCTCTAAGGTGTGTTTCTGCCTGCCTCTCCATTGAAAGGGTGATTAGTGGAGAACAATAGCACTGACTGACCTTGTAGAAGTTTCCAGTATTTCCACAAGTGAATGGCGGAGCTCAGAGATCAACAGATTTTTGTTCCCCTTTCTTACCAAGACCATTCTCCTCTAAATGCTCAGTTTTAACAAGTAACCACTGCTTTATAAGACAGTGCTTCCAGATTTGTCTGTATTCCTCCCCAGATTTGTGCTCTATAGTGTTGATGTCATTGCTTAGTGGTCTGATAATCATTGTCAAAACTGAGATCTTGTGTAGATAAGTCCAATCCATAAGGATGCATAGCTACATTTAGAAAATGCTACAGTCTGGTTGTTTATTTGTGAATGCATGGGTGAGGCAAGTAAGCAGATAAGCAGGTAAGCGGTGAACTCGAGAGGGTGTTGTCCCAATGAAGGAGCATTTAGAGAAGTAAGGATCATGGACTTTTACAGTGTAAATAGAAATGTGTCATCTTAAAAACAAAAACAAGGCCAAACTTGAATATGGTGTGTGTCTCTGTGCTGTTTTGTCCGGACTGCCACAGTCTGCATTAAGTGGACACGGTCTGTTGTAGGAGGAGGGGGCAGACGGGTGTAGCCTCAGGCTTATCATGTAGTAGCGTGTGATTCATACGCACGCTACTACAAGTGCAGTGAGCTGACCCACATCACAAAAAGAAAGCCAAAAGGAAGGGGTAGGTCCTCAGTGAAGGGAGATCACATGATAATCCCATGTTTTTCAAACCAGTTTGCTGGGTGCACCAGTCAGGCACCCAGCAATATTTAACTTGAGACTAACTCCACTTACAACTATGGAAATGTCTAGTTTTATCCAATAACTTGTCATATAGAACGCACAGCAGCAAAAAAAGCCTCCCAAAACAGACAAGCCTTCAGTGGAATTTCAGAGCGTTTAATTTAATTTAAGTTCTTTCACATTTGAGATCACTCAAAATATGCCAATGAGACAAGGTGCAGACAGAGAGGACAAACGTTGGCCAATACTTTTTGTACAATCAGGTTTAACCAAAGCTCTGGTTTTAGTCTTTAATTAATGCATAAATCAATTTAAAAAATAATGGGAGAAAATTGTACTCCAATTTAATTTCATTGCATACGTTTATTGATATGTTGCATGTTAAAGTTGCATTTTAAAGGATAAACAACAATGCTAACCTTCATAATTAAGCAACTGGACATTTTTAAGTTAACTTTTGATATGTTTTTATGTTTTTTTTTTTTTTTTTTTGCAAACTACACACTTAAAGTACGTGAAACAAGTCGACAGTTTCTTGTACAGTGGACAAGCTGTGAAACCAACTTCCTGGAGAGACATCTCAGCAGAAAGTGGCACAGTAGAACGAGACTGGATGTGGATGTTATGTTACATTGTCAAAATTATGATGAAGACCGAAAACCATTGATTCAAAATTTTACTTGAGTTGAACTAAAACAAGATTTAGTTCAATTAGAAATTAATTAAACTAAAGTAAAGGTTATCAGATAATATTTTGTTATCTTAGAAAATAATCTCCTTCAGTGACATTCTGCTCCACACACCAGACCAGTCGGTGGCGGTAATGCATCAATTTCATTGTTTTCCCAACCGCCAAAAAACATCATAGAAGAAGAAGTTTGAGTTTCCTGTTCCGGGTCCTCGAACAGAAACGTCGCGTGAACGGCGCGGCTAAACAGAAAGTTTTGGAGGAAAACTGGAACATTTGAGCTTTTTCAGCATCCAAAACCTGCTCGTCTTTGCCGGAATTGCACAGAAAACGTGTACTCGGGGATATCTCTTCAAATTCAAGAGGTTTGAAAGCTTAATTGAGGCAGAGCACATCTATGTTGGTGGCCCATGTACAGCTGTGAGCTAACGCCTCTTAGCATGTTACCGGGGAGTTTCGGATGTGATTGAGCTTAGCTAGTTTGTTGCTCCATGTTAGCAAAGCTAGCCACGTACTGACACATAATATTTAACCGAAAGATGTAGTCTTTGCTCAACATGTGTGTTGTTTTCAGGTCGTTTGTGCGACTCTCTTATGCAACGTCCTGTTTGGCACGTTCAGATCCTAAGAAAAAAAATCTGTTAAATATAAGCTTGCTACAAATTAAAAGCTGGTTATTGAGCTGAATGCAGCTTTGAAACGTTTCCTAATTGTTATGTCTCGCAGTGTTGGAGGATGTCTCTGCCAAAGCGGGAGGTGGAGGAGCTGAGACCCTGGGTGGAGCGCACCGTGAAGAAGGTGCTGGGTTTCTCAGAGCCCACTGTGGTCACCGCAGCTTTACACTGCGTCGGGAAGGGGCTGGATAAAAAGAAGACGACAGGTAACTAACAGTGTTTATCACTGGGCTCTTCTGCCAATTTTTATATTTAAATTGAGCGATTTCTGTTCCCTTTCTAGTTTTTTGCTAGAAAGGGAATATTTAAAATAGCAGAACTTTTTTTTACTACAAATTAATTAAAACTGTAACTGTATTGTAACAATATAAGAGACAGAAGACAGGTAGTCCTACTCTGCCTTTTCCCTATAGGTCTGCTGTCACCTGAACAAATGCACTGCTTTGTTAGAAACAGCCAATCAGAGCCAGGAGGAGGGCCTTAGTGCTGTCAGTCACTCTTGTGTACATGCTGCTGACAGCTTCCCTCTGCTACACTACAGTTGGTTCACCACAACAAAAACTGACATGGAAGCTAAGGGTAGTTAGCACAACCACCAGTGGTAGAAGATAAACTGGCAGCATATACAAGGTTGATTGACAACACTAAGACATTCCTCCTGTCTCTGATTGGTTGTTTTTGATAGGGAGCACTTCTTTAGACGGTAGCTCAGGGAGGCTATCGTGGGAGTGCTTGATTATTTTTAATTTTTTTTTGTATTTTCTGTCTCATACTGTCAGGACATGGGGGCAGTTTTAACAAATATGTAAGAAAAAATTAAAAGTTACATACTGTAGCTTTACATATAGCTTTAGGTCAAGCTGTCACTATCAAACCTAAACATGACATAAATAAGAGCAGTAGGTTCAAATAATTACAGAGTTTGAAATACTTACTGTGACTATTAAATGGCCGTTGAATTTGTGTTAATTATTTAAATGTTCGTTTGCCTTTAGACCAGCTGCGTCCGATCCTCGATGACTCTGCGGGAGGTTTTGTAGAACGTCTGTTTGAAGCTCTCGAGGAAAGCCGCAACAGCCGTGGCAGCAAAGGAGCGAGTGAAAAACACCGCAAGAGAGAACTTAAGGTAACAAGAGACTGGTGCTCTGACCTTTTGACGAACTTATGAAAGGTGCTCTGAGTCTGTATAAGAATTTATATACACTCCATTAAGATGATATAGTATCACTTAGTGACAAAGTACAACAACTGAAAAAACCTTGTGTGTTTGCTTGTGATTCGGCTGTTTGGACTAAGGAGGTTTTTGGAGAGGAGGCAGAAACAGGAGCAGTGCAAGTTGCTCCAGATACAGGGGATGGGACAACACCCAAGAGGAAGCGAGTCCCACGCTTTCAGGAGGTGGAGGAGCCCGAGGTAATTCCCGGACCTCCATCTGAAAGCCCTGGTATGCTCACCAAAATGCAGGTAAAACAAATTGTTGTGCATCTCATATGTACTGTATGTCTTTAGTTAGTCATGTTTTAAGAACTGTCTTACCTTCTGCTTCTCAAACAGATCAAGCAGATGATGGAAGCAGCCACTAAGCAGATAGAAGAAAGGAAGAAACAGCTGAGCTTTACGTCGCCTGCAACAGTAATTTTTTATTCAAACCCTCAAATATTAGACCAAAAATAAATAAACATGTTTACAATATCCAGCTATTCATCACACTGAACTATTTGCCCATTTTCTGACATCGCTTGCTGTCTTTTCTCACAATCACAGGGTGATGGATCACGACTTCTTGGTGCTGCTGCCGGTGGAGCCTCATCTATTGCCCCCTCTCAGGCTGCCAGCTTTATGAACGATGCTATAGAGAAAGCTCGCAAAGCAGCTGAGCTTCAGGCCCGGATCCAGTCCCAGTTAGCTCAGAAGCCTGGTATCCTCAACACTTTTGTGAACACGGGGCCTCCAAACTTAGTCGCTCTTGCTAATCTGCACGCCATGGGAATTGCACCACCGTTAGTAACACTTAGAAACTTTTTTGCACAAGAAAATCTGGGATCAATGTGGTTATAGCTAAAAATGTCCTTTTATATGTGTAAAATTACAGGAAAGTCGATATTAAAGAAGTGAACAAACCAACGCCTCTGATCCTGGATGACAAAGGCAGAACTGTTGATGCTACAGGCAAAGAGATTGAACTCACACATCGTATGCCCACACTCAAAGGTATTGCATTTCTTTCAACTTTAAAACAAAAAAACTCAACTGGATTATATTTTTTTGGATTATTCTGAACAGTTGTTTTAGTTCTCAAAAATAATTAATTAAATATGAAATCTTTTTGCTGGATGGTGGTTGAATAGGCCACACTACCTCTGGTTACTGTTCAGTAGAATGAATAATAGAAGAATAAAGAAATTCAGGTGGATATTACCAGAAAGAGTTTGCTTCATTTCTAGGTTATTCTATATTATGTCAGGAAAAGAGTGCTTGGATGTACTGTAGACATTTGTTAGTCAGTATAGCCCAGGAAGAGCTGCTGTGTCCAGGGAAGTTTTTTTATTATTCATTTTTCATTCATAATGCTAACTAATTAAAATGGTTTTCTTCTTTCTGTGCAGCCAACATACGAGCTGTAAAGAGGGAGCAGTTTCGCCAGCAGCTGAAGGAGAAGCCCGGGGACGACATAGAGTCCACGTCCTACTTTGACCAGCGGGTTCTCATAACTCCAGCCCAGCGGACTCGCAAGGGCTTCAAATTCCACGAACCGGGTCGCTTTGAGAAAATTGCTCAGAGAGTTAGAACTAAGGTAGAAGAAAGCTCTTCAAATGTAGATGCATTTTCAGTTTAGTTAAATGGTTTGCAGTTTTCATAATCTTTTGTGTGTGTGTGTGTGATTGTCTAACCCAAACAGGCTCAGCTGGAGAGGCTGCAGAATGAGATTGCCCAAGCTGCAAAGAAAACAGGAATCCAAGCTTCCACCAAATTGGCACTGATTGCTCCGAAAAAAGAGATTGGAGAAGGAGATGTGCCTAATATTGAGTGGTGGGACTCGTATATATTAAGCACCCAAATGCCCATGTAAGCAAATGAATAAGGCTGTTATTAAATAATAATCTCAGTTATTTAATAATTCTGTATGACATTTGCAGACAAAATAATGATGCTTAAAAGTGACTGACCTTTATCATGCTTTCTTTTTCTCTCTGTGTTGAAAAGAAATCCACTATCAAAATTTGAAGAGTATGACCTTTTTGGTGTGACAAACCTAGTAGAACATCCTGCCCAAATTAGTCCTCCAGGTAAGGTGTGGGTTAAATGCAATTATAATTTCTTGATACTCTACTGTAGTTCTCCTTTAAATGGTTTCAAGTAAGTGGTTTCAATACTCAATCCCACTCCTCTTCTCATTGGGCAAATTGATTGCAACTCATTTCAGTTCAATTCCCTCATTAGTAGTTTTAATATTTTATTTGTTTTTCTTCTAGTTGACACAGACAAGCCAGTAACTTTAGGTGTGTACCTAACAAAGAGAGAACAAAAGAAACTGAGAAGACAAACACGGAGGGAAGCACAAAAAGAAGTGCAGGAAAAGGTCCGTCTGGGACTGATGCCTCCACCAGAACCAAAAGGTACACAAATATGGTCATAAATAGTTGCTGGGTTGGACCAAGCAGAATATTGTTGCTGATATTTGTTTCTATTGATTTAGTACGCATCTCCAACCTGATGAGAGTGTTGGGGACGGAGGCTGTTCAGGATCCTACAAAAGTAGAAGCCCATGTGAGAGCGCAGATGGCCAAGAGACAAAAGTTTGTAGCATGGTTATTAATATCTTGGTATTTCTTTGACATTTAAAACTGAAGGACTTTCTTATAAATCAAGTCTTAATTTGTTGTCTAATTACAGAGCTCATGAAGAGGCCAATGCAGCTCGCAAGCTGACAGCAGAGCAGAGAAAAGAAAAGAAGGTGAAGAAGTTAAAAGAAGATCTTACGAATGGCGTTCACGTTACAGTATACAGGTAAGCAAACAGGACATGAGTCACTTGAGATATGTGGAAATACTTATAATTCTTACATTTTCCTCGTTTAGGATCCGTAACTTGCAAAATCCGGCAAAGAAATTTAAGGTGGAGGCCAATGCAAACCAGCTATACCTGACGGGCACAGTGGTTCTGCACAAAGACGTTAATATAGTTGTGGTGGAGGGAGGTAAGAAATGAATCAAAATGCTAGGAAGGGTTGATAGACTTTTACAAAATTTATAAAACCTTTGTATTTAAAGTTTTATTTTAATGATTTATGTTAGTGTGGTTGGCCAAAAAGAGCTAATTCTGCCTGGGGATCAGGAAGATTGACATTGTAGATGTGGCTCATCCAATAGAATGCAAAAAAAAAAAGCATTCTTTTGGAATGCTTTTTTCCCCTCATCAGTCATAAGAAGACTGATGAGGAAAGACACACTGATAATTTGTTATGAATGAGATCTTCAAGTGGAAGGCATCAGATTGCTCATTTGTGCTGCACTTTTCGAAAGATCACATGGTGCTTTTCAAGAGATCACATTAGTTTCTTTAAATACTTATGCTTTTTATTTTATTAAAGATAAAATACTGTGTGCCCAACATTTTCTATTGTAAAAAGATTTTAATTGAGCTGTTTGCACAGAATGGGCAGCCTCTAGAATGTATGCCATTACTTTGTATATCATCTCATGATTTTCTTGCATCATTCTGTAAATAGTCTGTTGGACTTTAAACTATTAGATTTTTATGTTGCACTTAAAATGTTCATATTTTTTTCTTTCCATTTTAGGCCCTAAAGCCCAGAAAAAGTTTAAGAGACTGATGATGCACAGAATCAAATGGGAGGAACACAACAGCAAAAGAGATGGTAAGACTGGTTTTAGGCTTTTTTTAATGTTCTACCTGTAATACTTTATTTTAATGTTTAACTTTTTCCATCCGGCCCTTTATTTATTAGATCCAGATGGCGATGACGATACAAGAAGAAACAACAAATGTTGGCTGATTTGGGAGGTCAGTGCTCTACATCTAGCATCTTCGTGCTCAGTCACTTTCCTTTTTGATTATTTTTTTAATTTTTTTAATTATTTTTCATTAGTCTCTTGAAAGTATCTGTTTCTCCTGGCTCCACAGGGAACGGCTAAGGAGCGGAGTTTTGGTGAGATGAAGTTCAAGCAGTGCCCCACTGAGAACATGGCTCGAGAGCACTTCAGGAAACACGGCACAGAACACTACTGGGACTTAGCGCTGAGCCAGAGTGTGTTGGAAGGCTCGGATGATTGAAGCAAACCTACGAAGCGCTTTGATTCTGTCAGTGACTTGAACCATCAGTAAGCCTGCACATCCCTCACAGCCAGCCACCCCCCTCTGCTGGCTCCTGGACAGACATCGGCTTTATTAAGAGACTTGAATCTTGAAAAGGAGCAACAACAACCGTGCGAGTGTGATTATTTTTATGGTTTTTTTTGTGAGAGAGAGAGAGAGAATGGAAGAGATCCAGATGTGTATAGAGAAAAGTGTGTGTGTATAGATCTGCATCAGTGTTGATTTCTTTGATGACTTAGGCTTCTCAGTTGAAATTGTATTTTTTGTAGACAGATTGAGCAGTTTGGTATAATAACTCTCCGTAGGCATAATATGGTGAGATCCGTTTGTCACGACTGCTAATTTTGTCATAAAAATCAAGATGCCCACTGTTTCCAATCAGTTTGATTGGAAACATTTGAGTGACCCCCCTCCATTAGAAACAATTTGCACAATTTTGTGCCAACTCAAAAAAACACTTTAGATAAATTTCTTTACCACATAAGGTTCACAAACGTTTCACTGAAAGGCGGGTGTCTAAATGCATTTAAGCAATTTTTGTTTGAAGAGGCATTTTTGGCTCTGTTGTAGCTACACTTATCTTTAACAGTGCAGTCTCTGCCTTAAATAAACAAAATACAAACACTTTTGGGTTTTTTGTTTGTTTTTTAATTAAACATTGTAGTTAATGCTCACTGCATTAACTACTCCTGTTTTAAAGTTTACCTCCTCCAGCTTTTCCTCTATTCCAATTTGCTGCATCCCCCAACTATGAGCAGTTATAGATGGGGACTAGTCCTGAGGAGATGATAAATGAATTAATTTCTTATTATTGGAACAGAAACTGTACAAAATGGTTCATTGGATCAATTTAAAATTTTACTTTTAACAATTAAAAAGTAAGGCAATGTTTTTATATGGTATAACAGTTTTTATCTGTGTTCTGTAGCCTTTGGAAAAGCAATATTGCAACAACAAATGCAGTTTTTTATTATTATTTAGTTATGGTGAGCCCCCGTTGAAAGAGCACTGCCCCCACCGTCCCTCTGTCCCCCTGGTAAATTTGGTCTAGCACCGCCACTGCCCCAACATTAGCAGGCAGATCGGGGAAGATGGCGGCCGGTTCAGGCGCTGCAAGCGGGCAGGCAGCCCGCAGCTCCACTGGTTCTCTGGAAGCCTCACTGGACCGCCGCTTTCAAGGAGTTTCCAATACTATGGAGTCGATACAGAGCCTCTCGGCGTGGTGCATTGAAAACAAGAAACACCACGGCCTCATTGTTCGCTACTGGATGAAGTGGCTCAAGAAATGTGAGTAGCTGCTCCGCTAGCTAGCATACCTCAAGCTAATTCAAAAGCTTAATTTTTGGCTTTTCCACCGATAGTTTGCAAAACCCGTCAAGATATTTGGCTAAATCATGCAGTGCCTTACGTTGTATCGCAAAAGTTGTTATTCCGTTTATTTTTTCACTTTTAAACGAGCGATTTATTTTCAGAAGTATTCGCAGGTGATGCTACTTAAAATTAGCCGCTAATGGTGGCAAAGCTAACGTGTCGCTGATGGCAGTGTTTACAGATGGGCCTCTCTGGGAAACACGGGCTGGCTGTGCAAAAACAAATTCAGTTGGGATGTGTTGATCTTCATTCACGCGTAGCTGCTTTCTTTAAGTGGATCACTTCTTACACAGCTTTGGTTGCATCTTAATAGCTGTTCGTGTGGCGTGTTTTGATGAGATGTTTACTGTTTATTTTATGAGCACAATTGAAAGAAGTTGTTTTTAGCACATTGGCAAGATCGTAGCTCGTTAGTCTGCAGGTATATTGTGCTTGTTTAATTGTTGCACAGTACGTTAGTCGTCTGCCTTGTAATGCGATTGATTCGATGAATGCATGGCTTGATAATGGCTGTGGAAGGTCCTCTTGTAGCAGTTTGTACAAGAGACCGTCTTCAGCCTCTGACTGAAGACGGTCTCATGAAGATGTTTAAAGATGTTCATAATTTTCTTAATTTTTATGAGCAAAATTAAACCTGTTAATTTTTCAGATGTTCTAAGCAAACTAAACAAGAAGACGCAACAAACTGATTGGCTTTAATGTCACATTTCATCTTTGGTCCCTCTCCTAATGAAAACAGTCCAGCTGATCTGAAGTATTCATCAGCTGGACTTTTTTAGTTTCTGCTAAATTTAGTGTTCATGGTTTTACAATAACGTAAACTCATTTATGTTTAAGTACTTGAATATGATTCAAAGCTGAAACCAAAAGTTTACATGTGCAAAGGAAAACATGCACATGTGCACAGGGTTTCACAGGGATCAGAAAAATGATGAGATGGCAAAATCAGTTATGTTTTTTTTTGTCTTATCTGCACGTCTTGCACTCTGATCTTCAGTGTTTTTATCTATGCTATTTGTGTCTGCATCTGCTACTGCGAGACTCTGTGACTTGTTTGTTAAATATTACATTAGCGTAACATTTACAAGTTGCAAACATTTTTGGAACATTTTACAAATATTTCATTCCAAACAGTTCTGTGTGTTACAAATAGGCATTGTGTTGCCTACAAAAGAGAGGCTACTTAATGTGTAGCCTCTCTTTTTCTTACAGTTTCTTTTCTCTCTATTCAATTTATATGTGAAATTTTGACTTTTATTATTGTGACATTCAGCAGATAGAAATAATTACCTAAATTGGTCTGATTTAACTTTAGGAGCTGCCTATTGTGAGGCAAAATAAACATATTTTCAGAGTGACAGCAATCTCAGTTTTTTTTTTAATACTTCTGCATATCTAAATTGAAATCCCTGGAAATACATATGTGTTTTGTTACTTTTTTATTTTATTTTCTCTAAAGTTTTTTATTTCTACTTTGTGTTCAGCGGCTGAGTGCTTGAAAACCAAAGTCAAATTTCTTGAATATGCACATAATCTTGGCCAGTAAAACAGATTCTGAGTCCAAGTGGGATTTAACAATAATATTTATTAGGTGTTTTTTTTTTCTCTGAATTACCTGGAACGAATGCAGGATTTTTTGTGGTATTTAACCCCAGACAATTTTGCTGCTGTAATCTCATTCTGACCCAGACCCAATTCAATCACAAATGTGTTTTTCTAAGTTTTAATCTTAGTGGTTCTGATGTTAGTAAAAGCCCGAATTAAGTGTATTGGGTTTCGCAGATCTTTTTCTTTATCATTACTGAACTTAAGTCTTTCATTTGGATTGTTTCTAAATTAAATTTGGGACAGAAAAATCTGAGTTGGGGAAGTCTGTTGATTTATTATTTAAATTCCCTCAGGAATAGTCTTGTATTTACTCCAAAGGTTAGAGGTTGTTGGCAATGTCATTTGATTTATATCTTCTCTAAGTGTCCTTAATTGTGTACAAACTGTCTTCAGGTGATAAAGCCACTTTTGGTCTTTTTAGTCATATTTTGAAGATTTATTGATGCTTTTGAGGCCAGTCTTCCAGATCTTTTATGGACACAAACTCCTAAATTTAGAAATGCAGTCTGTTAAAGAACAGTATTGCCAGAGGGGTCAAGTTTATTACTGTCACTCGTGTTTGCACAAAGTGCAATTATAAAATTATAAAATTCACAAAAATTACTTAATGAAAGCTAAAAAAGGAAGTTAAATAATACAGTGTGACTATAAAGGTGGATTTTACATTGGCTAAGGCTTTCAAAAGAGAAAATGTTTATTTCATCACATCCTTAAAACCATATCACAGTAGAGAACTATATGATTAGTTATAACTAGTGACTGTAAAACTTTGTGATGTTACTTGAAGTTGCTGTTTTGTGCTCCTTTGTTGGCAGTTTTCCATTTTATTCTGGATATGTTAAATATTCATGCATGTTTTTGTTAACTCAGCTTTAGATGGAAATGGGTTAAAGATTAATGCCAGAATGTAAGTAGTAACATGAATTCATTCAAATCTTCTGGGTAAGATAACCAATTAAATATTAAAACGTTAAGCAATATATTTTTTAATAAATATGTTTTGTTGGGGGAAGATACGGAACATGTGGTGATAACTATTCTTAATTTAATCTTCTAAAAACAAGGGATGGGAGCTGTATATTTATTAAGATTTCGTCATGGTGTTATGGAGGAAAAAAATGTGTCCAAACTCTTTAGGTGAAAGACCAGAGTAAAATCTCTGAGAGTCAACACGTCGTTTTTATACCGAGGACAAAGAATCATAAACTCCAGAAACGTTGTGCAGAAAACATCTCCAGGACAGCTGGAGTTGGGTTTTTAGCTCAGACAGGTTCATTTGGTAAAAGTTCAGATAAAAAACATAACATTAGATGACCTTTAAAATATTAGTCAGAAAATATTATCCTATTGTATTTTGTGTAAGACTGACTGAAGTTTTCCAGATAAAAATGTTTAATACAGTAAATACAAATATTTACTGTATTGTTGTGGATTTGTAGGATCTCTGCATTGAGTCTGACTCTTGAGTTGATCCAAGTTTACAACAGGTTGGGTTTTTAAATTTTTTTTAGTAAAGATGATACATTTTGAGCCTAAATATTAGCAGTTTGTGTGGTGGAAACCTCAATTTGCCATATTTCTTAAATGTTTTGCTTGAAACTATTGGCATTGTCATTTTTTAGGCACATTTTCAAAAACCTTGATTAAGGAGGAGGCCTTTGAAAGTGCATCTGAGCATATTTGCAGTAATCTTCAACAGAGAAATCAGGAGTAGGAGTGTGATATGATACTGGGTTAAAGAGAAACGAGACATGGTTTCAGCAAAATGTGGGAAAATAAATAAACCTAGTTTTTGCTCACATAAACCGACTAAAGCTTTATGTGAATCTGTAACGACGTACAATTATTCAGTTCAAACTTGAGTGAGGTGTATATATTGACATTAAATATTCTCAGCTAGTTGTAACATGTCAAAAAGCATAGAAATGAAAAGTTTCATTCATTCATTTTTATCTGTTTTTTGAAGAATCTTTCAAGTGGAAATATCAGGCTTATGTTTAATCAGTCATAAGAATCTTGAACCAGAGGTGATGAAACATTAAAAATAAAACAATTTATTCATGTTCATTTGTGTTCCTCAGACTGTGTCCTTATTGCAGCAGATTTTTCCTGTGGAAGGTCGAAGTGCTTGATAACACCTGATTTGAGTACAGAGGAGTCTTGACTTCTTCAGTGGTTTTGTACCAAAGTGTTGTCAGCCAGGTGTTCGAGCCGACATGATCAATAAAATGAGGCAACACAGGAACTTTAGTTTGAAACAGGAATCTCAATTGTGGATCTAAAAAAATTGCTAATCTTAAAATATTTCTCTTAATATCTGAGGCTCATAGTAATGTAATCACAAGCTGGACTATTTTGTTTTTTATGCTCTGACTGTGTTCTTTCACCAAATAATATTTTCAGTTAACAATTAATCAATTACTAAATTAGTTGACAATTATTTCAGTAATCGATTCATCACGATTAATCTGATCAATTGTTTCAGCCCGAATGGCAAGATTTTCACAAACCTTTCCATTTAAAATTGCTGATAAAAATAGCAAAATTTTTAAACTATTAAAAATAGTTTTAAAAATGGCTAAGAATCATTTTTGTTTTCACAAAAGATGTACAGATTAGTAAATATAATAAGTTTAATAAGTAATC